AATATGGGATACTTGTGTATGCAGCGTATGATTTTGTGCTGCAAACCAAATATAACCAATTTTCTTTCATCGATGTTATTGTTCTGCGGACACAAGCGCTGACAAATTGCACGCAAGGTAACTCCATGACTCATTGAAGCATAGAACTGAAATATTTTCTGTATTGTTGGACTTTTTGGAATTTTATCGGGATTAAGTGCAACGTATTTACGACAGGCAGCAGTTAGAGACGTGTTTTGTATAAGATTCTTAAGATTCTGTGTGCACATATAAACATTGCTATATTTTAAAATAGGCAACAATTGTACTACACCGTAGTACGCCAAATTCTGCATACACGACTTGACTAGATCAGTTTCAACATCTGCCTCAGCGGCAATGCGCGCAATATGGTTAATGCCATTTATGTAAGGTAAAATCTGCACAAATAAAAACAGTTTGATTAACAAAAAATTTAAAAGGAAAAGGTAATATATATTGTTTTAACTCACCTGTTGAGTTGTCAAGTCCCAATTGTCCAAAGGCGTGTTTTTAAAATCAACCAGCAATAAAGGCACCATGTGATCTTTAACTATAGGTGGATCAGGTTTATGTGTAACAATTTTAAGATATATTGTTGTATCGCCCTCTGTTTAATAAAAACTTTAATTATTTTTTCTTTTTTAATATATATATAAAAATTTTATATTACCAACTATTGTAGTCACTTTCTTCTCATTTAAATCCCTAATGACTGTTTCGAAAATATGTTGCAGTTTCAACTTGTTATCTTCAACTTTAGATAAAAAACAATTTTCCTCCTCCATCATTATCTATAATAATATATAAAATGTTATTTTTTAATAATAGAACGATATTTTTATGTTTTATGGCTGACCAAATATTCCGATAGCTTTTTCACCACTGGTTCGTAGTGTACAGAGCGCGCCCAAGAGTCGCACACAAAACATAAATTAAACAAAAATGCATTGCGTACGTATTTTTGTTGATCCTCTATGCCAACCTAAATGAATTAAAAATAATTATTACCTTTTTTAATAATAAAAAAAAAAAACGCAAATATGTTGACTTACGGGATATCCCACAATTTTCATATCCACGGCATTCACAGTCAATATGCAGCGCTGCAAGTGAGGCTTAGGAATAATGTACACATTAATAGCATCAAATACATCTTTTGAAACATAATCAGGCGGCACCTTAAATTATGTTATTAAAATATTTTTTGCATTTCTACACTTAATATATTTAACTTTAAAAGTACTAACCTGGCAACTGATTTTGCAACCTGCGGTGGCATGAAATTCACTTAGAAAAATGCAACGAATTTTTCCTTCTTTCCCACATCCTTCAAAGAATTGCTGATTACTTTTCTGCATATCTTAAAAATTACAATAAATTCATAATTTTATTTTATAAATATATTGCAGCTGATTGAATAAAACAAAAACAGCTGTACAAATCCCATCCCGCCGCTGCAAATATAAGCGATGTGACACTTCAGTTCATCAAATGTTTGACGTTTGGTATAAAAAACCTTCGAGGTGAGTATTAATCACATGCGCTGGATGTAATTCAATTTGTAAATTACTTAGTACCATATCGTAATAAACTTTATTTTTACAAATTAATAGTATTAAATTTCATAAATGTAAATAATAATAAAAAATAAATAGTGATACGTAAACAATATACAAATATTTCGACAAATGGCAAGTTAAAATAATTCTCACATCAAGGACAAATGGTATAATTGTGTGTACTATTATCATAACACCACAAGTGCAACACGAAATCTAAATATTCATGCTGCAATATATATTATTTGAATATTTTGCGTTTTCCTAGCTGATATATTTTCTTTTAACAATACAAAATGTAATGTCAGCTGTTTACAATTAAAATGTCAGCTCTACAACTAGAAATTGTTGACGCATATAAGCTCGTTCCCATTCCTTAAGTAACTTGTGCTAATTTAAACGACAAAGAGCTCAATACTACTAAGTAACTTACTAAGTAAGCAGTGGAAACGTAGTATTAACGTTTCAAAACACCGATCAAAATTCGATTTGTTGTAATTTTGATACATACAACATTGACTGTTAAACTAAACTCAAATAATCCAACCACATAAAACGTTAAGAATAGAAAGTTGCAATAAATTTTTGTATTAATTTATATTTCATAATAATATTTTAAAAATACAAATTAGTTGAAAGTTTCTTCACATTACACCATATAAAGCAAAATATATACATTTTTATTTACATTTGCAATATTCAGTAATTTAATGATTAATAAAACACTCAATATTTTAAAAGGAACGACTAATGACTGAATTGATTTCTAATCCAAAATCGATTTTATTTATTGAATTTAAAACAGAAATAGAAAGTTTCATTAATTTATTTATTATTAATACTAAAAAATTATATTCATAACCGTAAAGGGGTGAACTATAGTAATATCCAAATTTTAAAACTAATAATATGCATTTTGTTTCTTCTTTATTTCCTTAAAGTGTAAACGATTAAATTCTTTTAATACTTTGTCAAGTCCATAATAATTAACTCAAAATTACAAATTCCACAAATATGTGCGAGATAATTGCATATTAGTTTTAATTCTGTTGATTACATATAAACTGCCTTGAAAAATTCTTATTTAACTATGATAGGTGTTAGTTTTGCTAAACACAAAATATAGTTGCGAAGCAGACCAAATTTGAATATATATGAAAAATTAGCAACCATTTTCATTGTATATGTATATTAATTTAATTCATAGCATATTCATATATAGGTAGTAAATTGAAGTTTCCTAGGGATTTTTTGCACTGTACTTATGTAAATATTTATTATTTTTGGTAAAAAGTTTTCAAATTTATTTGTTTATTTATTTACAATTTCACAATGGTAATACCTAATTTACTTAATTTTTATTTAAAATTTATTTACCCCACTCGAAATTCTGGTAAATACCAAAGTGCGCTACCATACCGATATGATATACTATTTCCCTCAATTTAATCGAACTCGCACACGACTATGTACACAAATTTGAAAGAAAAAACAAATTCAAAAATAACAATCTGGTAACACTCTAACCTTTCTTTGACTGACTTGCCGAATGTCAAAAATGACAATTCATAGTTTACAAAAAAACCGAATGTGCAAAATTTCTACAAACAGCTGCTTTAAGAATTAAACTTCTTAAAGTTGTTCGTATAAATTTTATTTGTTAGTAATAAATTAAAAAAATATGACGGAAAAAAGTTTAGAGGTGCCAGAGAAACTGAAACTTGGTCCGCGAGATGGAGTTGAATATCCTTTAATTGTGAATTACTGTGGAAACTGCACAATGCCAATTGAGGTATTTTGAAATGCTTACACTGTGTTCGATATTATTAAAAATATTTTCGTTTCAGTATTGTGAATATTATCCTGAGCATGATAAGTGTAAGGCGTGGTTGGAAAAGAATTTGCCAACAGAATTTGAACGTGTGAAATTGCAAGAGGAATCGGCTGCAGCTGACGGTACTGACGACGACAAAAAGCGTCAAAAACGTGGCGGCAAAGCTTTGATGAAAATTAAGAAAAAGGAAGAAGTACTGAAGAAAATAACAGTTTCGCGTGCACCCAGAGGTAAAAAGAAGTCCGTTACTGTTGTCACCGGTTTAAGCACATTTGGTAAGTAAAAATATAAGGAAATTGATGAAAAACATTCAAGAAAATTATTGTGCAGATATCGATTTGAAAGTGGCTGCTAAATTTTTTGGAACGAAGTTTGCTTGTGGCTCATCAGTTACTGGTGAAGATGAAATTGTAATACAAGGAGATGTAAAAGATGATTTATTTGATGTCATACCTAAAAAATGGCCAGAAATTGATGAAGACTTCATTGATGATTTAGGCGACCAAAAACGTTAGTTAAAAAAAATGGAATGGTGCTAATTGTATTAAGTAAATCAACTTTTATTTAACTTATAAATATAGCATTTTTATAACAAAACACAAAATAAGTTTGATTTTTTTTTTTGTTTTCCAACAAAACAAATTCAATTTCTTTCCTCCAAAGAGAAATGTTGTTTCACAATGTCCAGCAATTCATTAACTTGTTGTTCAGTAAAACGTTCCTCACTGTCCTCAACTAGCTGAAATTTTTATTTTATTATATTTATATTAATACTAACAAAATACTATTTTCTTACGAGTTGTACATGCAAAGCACAGGTTGGTGGGTCATTGGTAATCATTAGGCATTCGTTCGAAGTGAGCTTGTATGGCTCGATGCTTTTCAGAAAAGTGGCTATAGATGGCTTGCTCTGCACTTTACACGGCGTATCTTCTAAATATTGTAATGTCTAATGAGAAAACAAATTATATTATGCATTTAGTAATGAAAAAATAATACCTCATATGAAATTGTAGCCAAATTCCTTAAACCATATTTCTTTTTTGTATCTTTTGAATTTTTCAACGTCTCCATTACTTCCAAATTTGAGTACAGAGAATAACATGGATTAACACTAAAAATTTTGATATAAAACGTTTTGAAAAATTTTTTCCAATAATATGAACCACTTACATTTCCATTATAATATTTATTCAACAATTGTTTTTAAAATGAAGACAATTTTTTAAGCAACAATAAAAAAAAACAAACATGCCTAGACAAGAGGTGATGCCACATGTTTTGAAATATAATATGATGTAAATATCAAAATCACGAAATTAATATTAAATATTAATTTCACATATATATCACATAAAATTTGTTTAACTATTTCAATAATTTTAAGCAATTTTTTAAAACTAACATTAATTAAATTAAAAATTTATAAATAAATTAAATAAATATATATTTTTTGTGTCTAAAAAAATTGTTTTAATATAAAATGTTTTTTCACAAGACATAGTGCAGTAATTTGAAGATCACAGCAATAATAATTTATTTTATTTATATTGTTGTGGTTTATGTAATCGTTTAAAAAAACAGCAAAATAAATATTAATAATGAACTTTAGTACTGGCTCAATGGTTTAACATTTTAATCAGCATTCATATACAAATTTTATTAACTCTGGACCATAAGTGGCAACCACTTATGAAGTTCCTGTGAGTGATAACTATTATGGTTTCTTGGAAATAGTTTCCACGAAAAAAAGTTTTACTTATTTAATAACAAGTAATAAAATTTAAATCCTAATTTTTTGTCGTGTAAAGATACTTTTTGTTCATCCCTATTTGCTGAAGTAAACTTAACGGTTGATCCTTGGGTCATTGCAATAAATTTATAAATAATAGGAGACAGTATTTTAAGTATTTATTTAAAATTTTTCTTCATTAGGTTATTTATTTAAATCTAACAATATTTGCATATTTTACATCTACATTGTAACCTAGTCCACAGTATTACAGGATATTCGGTAATAGCCAGACTATTCCTTTCCTTGATTCCTCTTAACTCGATGCCGTTGCATGCTTTAGATTAAAAGTTTATTAATGTTTATATATAAACTTATTGGGGCTTATATAAGTTTCAATAGAGAGAATATATATGTATTCACGTTTATATAGGACTCAATTGAAAAGAATATGTAAGAAAAAAAATTTTTGTGTTTTTTTATACTTAGCCCTGCTGATGATTTTTTCTGGTATACGTGTCCTGTCTAGGTATCAACTTCGAAAGTTGATGTCCAAGTCCTCCGGTGTGCTTGCAATGGCTTCGAGAATTGAAGCTCAAGTCCCTTGTCTGAACATATATGTTGACATATATACGCATCAGACCGAACTCTAATGTAGCGCAAATGTTTTGGCTACATTTTGGTTTACATTTTTGTCCCCGTTACTGTTTTTATTTCTTTCTCATTATATGCGTGCGCATTTATATTTGTTTTTTAACTCTCTTACTTTCGCTTCTCTCTTTAACTAACGGCACTTTTGCATTTATTCTTTACTTATGTGCGCGCGAATCAATGTCTTTTTGATTTAGTTTCTGTTCATTTGTCTTGATTAAGTTTCATCATATGTGTCACATCATATTTAAATTTATTTATTCAAATAATATATTTATGTATTAAAAATATTAAATTAAATAATAAATAAATGAGGTAGGTGTATTATTTATTTATTTAAATATATTTTATATTCCTTGTGAATGCATTTCCAAAGTAATTTTAGGTCTGTTCATGTGGTGCTGTTACATGCATACAGGGATGAGTTTTCGGTAAGTTATTTACATATTAAATAAAAATTAACTAATTTGTGTCATGCTCTTAAAATTTAAAATTAATTCTATACTTATTTTATGTAAGTTGGAAATTTGTAAAATTTCCAATCTTACAGTCTTTTAAGCATTATTGTTGTTTACATTAAAATAGTAGTTAACAGAATATAATAAATGTATTGCAGGTGTTAGAAGGAAAAATTATTTGACAAAGAGTTTAATATTAATTTTTGAAATTTTTTACTATTTTGGGGAGCAAAATTGACAAATTTTAGTATATGCGTGTGAATAGACTTCAAATTTAAATATTGACATGGTATATAATATACTGACTTCTAAATTAAAAATACTATGTTTTCATAAAGTTTATAAAAATTAAAAAAATGTATTTAAATTATTAATAGCAGTGTCAAGTTTTTCAATTTAATTTCAATTTAATAAATAAATTTAATTTTTAAATTTACAAAAACGCATAAATTTAAACTTCATTTATTGTGATTCCTTTTTAACTTGAATTTTATTTGACACACTGTCTGACAACTTGTTGCGTTGCCAGATTCATTAAATTATTATAGGAAACCATAGCACTATTTGTCAAATGATTTGTTGGGATTCATTGACATATATTAAACTCTCGATAAGTCATTTTATTATGACTTATGATAATATTGTATTATTTTAGTAAATATATAATATCTTACTCGAACCCGTGCTGAATGTTCGAAGTATCCAAGGTGTTAAATTGCTAAATAGAAACATTGTGAGTGCTTTTTTATATGTAAGTTATAGAGTAGAGTTTGACATAAGGTGCTTTCGGCAGTTTTTAAGTGTGGGAAAAAACATTAAGTTACTTGTCTAAAGTTGTTAAAATGAGCGGAAAATAACAACACTACTTTATCTAAGCAGGAAAGTGGCCAAACATTTTAGCAATTACAAAAAAAAAATGTTTTCAATGCAGCATGCGAACTATTGTGAAAATTCATATGTCAAAAGATTGCAAACAAAAATTCAGTGCAAAATTAAAATTTTTCACAAATTTGAAAATATTGAAAATGAAATATTTTAAAAATATGCAAAATTGTGAAAAATAAATGATTTGAATTTTTTTTTTTTTTATTTTTATTATTTGTAAATATAATCTGTAAAAGAACTTTTAGTATTATTTGTGGATACTAAAAAGAATAAAACAATATGTGTGGGCAACAACAAGGACACAACAGCTGATGTGACAGCTTGAATTTCACATTTAACAACATACCACAGATGCATGTTAATTTGCTAAAGTCTCAAAATTTCACATATCGAGTATTTAGCACAAATATAAGCAATATTTTATTTGAAAAATTTCGTACAAAATAGAGTACATTTTTCACATATATATTAAAATTTATTTTAATTTACTAATTTGCTTGTCAATATACGAATAATAAAATTTGCATTTGCTTTCATTGACGTAAGTCAAGCGTGAGGGACAAATTATGATTAAATGCAAGATGAAAATTTGACAGCCCACTTGATTTTATATTGAAAGCATTAACAATTGCGGTGACGTGACCTCCATCCAAACATTTTCCCAATCAATTATATTTCTAATTTATTTCATAGAATATATGATTCCATTTCCTTCATTTTGAACACATTGTAATTCTCTTTTATATTTATTCTTCATTTAAATAAATTGTAAATGATTTGCAGATTAGCAATTTATTTGTAAGTGGAAAAATCGATTTTCTACCTAGAAGCTTATAAGATAATCTGTAGCTCGTTTATGTAACTCGTTCGAGTTTAACTCGAACGATTTCTTTCGAAAAGTTCTCACTTGCTTTTTCTCACTTCTTTCGAGTTTGCTGTTTATGTAACATGAAAAATTCACCACACGAGAACGTTTTGGTGTGATAAGAGAAACTGATGAAAATTGAACGTTTTTTAAAAAAATGGAACGAAAATAAAACAATTTTAAAAGGTTGCTTAGTGCTTGCAAATAGCACTTGTACCAAAAATTTAAATTTATTCACTTTAACTTACTTTTTTCCATTCAAAATTCAAAACTTCTCGCAAGCAATTTGACAGGTGACAAAAACTCGAACGAAAAAAAGTGAGAAAACAATTCACCACAGTTACATAAACACTTCTAGTGAGTAATTGTCAAAAGTGAGAAAATCGTTCGAGAAAACGAAGTGAGAAAGTTACATAAACGAGCCACTGAAGTGATTATTAAAATCTTGTCACTTTTATGTGTTCTTTCCAGCATTATTTAGAATTATTTAAGTTATGCTATTAGATTTTAAAAACTTCAAGATCGTTTTACAACACTGTTTTGCAAGAGTGTGTTCTACTTCGACGAGCCACACGTGTTGAATTCAAATTATTATTTACAATTGAGTGCAATTGTTAAGTTGTAATATTTCTGTAATATTCATAATAATAGTTTTTTTAATATGGCTCGCGGTAGAAAGCAAAATCCTTTTGCAGCTAAAAAGCGTCAAAAGCGCGAACTTGTTAGTACATCTGTTTTATACTTTTATTTATTTATACTGACAAGTCAAAATTTTAGGCAACCGCTAAGGATCCACGGCCTGAGCGTCGGGCAGAACCTTACGAAGAAATAAAACGTGAAAATGAAAAATTTGTGAAATATTACCATACGCAAAATATCTGTGCTACTGAGGAAGAGTGGGAATTATTCTTAAATGCAATACGGAATAATTTGCCGACAACATTTCGTGTGACCGGCTTTAAAGACGAAGCCAAGGCATTGCTTAACATAATCGAAACGAAATTTTTTGATGAATATATTGGTGGTGTTGCTGAATTAAATGGAATACCGAAAGAAGAAGTTGAACGACCACTCTGTCTGCCTTGGTATCCCAATGGAATGGCGTATCAATTGCAATTGACACGCAAAGATATTAGACGGTCGGAACCTTTGTATCGGTTGCACAACTTCTTGATTGTAGAAACTAATGCGGGTAGTATAAGTCGACAAGAGGCTGTCTCCATGATACCGCCACTTGTGCTAAATGTGCAACCCACTGATAAGGTGTTGGACATGTGTGCGGCTCCTGGTTCAAAGACGGCACAATTAATTGAAGCTTTACATGCGAAGCCAGAAGAACATAAAATACCACCTGGTTATGTTGTGGCTAATGACGTCGATAATAATCGTTGTTACATGTTGGTGCATCAAGCGAAACGTTTGAATTCGCCCTGCTTTGTTGTAACAAATCACGACAGCAGTTTCTTTCCAAATTTATTGGTAATTATTTAATATTTATTTTTATTTCTTTGTTTAAAAACCATGCTATAAATTTGTTATTGTAGAAAACTGAAGCTGATGGTTCGAAATCAATAATAAAATTCGATAAAATCTTGTGTGATGTGCCTTGCTCTGGAGACGGTACTTTACGTAAAAATCCTGACATTTGGATGAAATGGAATTTGGGACAGGCGTACAATTTGCATGGGTAAATACATATAATACTTAAATATTATTTAGTTTACTAAACTCAATTCAATTTAATTGTAGCATACAATATCGCATTACACGACGTGGTGCGGAAATGTTGGAAGTAGGCGGCCGCTTAGTCTACTCCACCTGTTCATTGAATCCGATTGAGAATGAAGCAGTGCTGCAACGTATTATCAGCGATGCTGAAGGTGCATTAGAAATAGTTGATGCTGCAAGTTTTGTGCCTGGGCTTAAATTTAATCCTGGCATGACTGCATGGAAATTAGCGTCCAAAGAAGTTGATCAGATTTACAGCAGCTTTGACGAAGTGCCTAAAGAATATCACACAGTAATACGTCCAAATATGTTTCCATTGCCTAAAGAAGAAATAGAAAAAATTGGGCTTGAAAAATGGTCGGTTAAAATATGAGTACATAGAATTTGATATCAAATCTGCTTATTTTTAGTTTACGTGTTTTGCCTCATCTCCAGGACTCTGGTGGTTTCTTTGTAGCTGTAATTGAAAAAAAGCGACAGTTGCCATTTGAAAAAAATGATATTAAGGATTTATTAGAGAAACCAAAACCGGAACCAAAATTGGATGAAAATGGTCAACCTATTGAAGAAAAATCTGTACCTTGGGGTCCACAACGTAAACGTAGACGTTTACATGGCTACAAAGAGGATCCATACAATTTTTTTTCCGAAAACGATACTGACTGGGATGAATTAAAATCTTTCTACGACTTAGACGAATCTCTAAACAAACGTTGTTTGCTAACACGTTGCTTGGCAGAAAGGAAGAAAAACGTTTACTATTGCTCCGAACCCATACGAGATTTAGTGTTACTCAATGAACACAATATTAAAATGGTCAATACAGGAGTCAAAGCTTTTGTACGTTGTGAAAATCGTCACACTATGCATCCCTTCCGTTTAGCACAGGAAGGTTTGCAAACGACAAATGCTTTCATTGGTGCAAATCGTCGTATTGAAATCGAAAGAGATGATTTGATTTTATTATTGAATTGTACAGATCCTACCAAGCCACCATCGACCACTGAACTAAAACCAGATACACAAGTTAGCTGTACGAATCTGGGTAAGATTTGGCAAAAATCTCTTGCGTATTTTTTTATTCTACATGAATATTTTTTTTTTTAGAAATTGGCAGTTGTATATTAAAGTATGTGGATGAGCGGTTTACTCTGTATATTGTCGGTTGGCGGGGTAAATCTAGTCTACGCGCGTACGTTGATAGCAATGAAACTATACACATATTACGTTTATTAGGAGCAGATTTAAGTAAATTTGGTAAGATTAAATTAAAGTTTCTTTTCAAATATGATTATGCTTTAATTTAATTTAATTATAATTAATATTAAATTAACATTTATTATTACTCGTTTTTTCAAATGAAATAGAATTCAATTCATACATAATTACTATTTTAATTAATATTAGTGATGAGCAATCTTTTCACTAATTAGTTGGCTATTGCAGACTGGCTACGCAGTCTTCCGTGACTACATTTAATAGCAACATTCAGTGAACCCGACGGTGTTTATGCTGGTTTCTAAATATACTATAAGTCTTTCAAAACTTTGAACTTATAGTTATCAACATTGACGTGGGTCCCAAGACCTTTAGGAAATTTGTTTTATGACAGAAAGTACATTGTTTTTTCTCATTTACCACAAGATCCATTTGCTTTCGCTTGTTTCTTTAAGTTGGAAAAAGCTGGGTGTTCAATCATATCATAGCAATCAAAACAAAGTATTGCGTCACAAAAAGATGATAAATATACTGAAAGTGCTCACCCACTTGGCGTGGATGTGGCCTACAGCGTCTATCACCTTTACGAAAATTGAAATATAATAGTGCAATAAAAGATATTTGTACGAGTGATGATTGCTGTAACAAATGATGTTTTTAACGATTTCGATAAAACTCGACAAGATTGTAGAAAAAGCGTTGAAAGAGAATTTATTGATGTTTAAAACTATAGCTTAAATGGATAAGGAAATGGATGTAGGAAAGAAAGCAAGCTTACTACTTCGATGAGATGAAGACATGAATAAATAGCCACGAGTTGGTGTGTGAGTTAGCATGAATAGATATGAACGAAGTCATAAAGAATTGAACTTCAGCTAAGAAGCACATTGAAAATATACGTCTTTATGTGTAGCTATATCCTAATAACCATTGGGCAAGGATAGTTTTTGCATTCATGAAAGAACTGTCTTTCATCTCAAGAAATTTTACACGGATATCTGTTAAGAAATCGTTGCAATAAAAGCTGGCTCTCACAAGAGATATTGCTTCGGTAAGGAGGGCGGTTATCAGTAGTCGATGTACAATGATACTGATGTTGGGTGCCGTGTGGAAGTATTCACAACAAAAAAAGAACTTGACGGATGCAACGCGGTGAAATGGATCTACTAATATAGAATATTTATCGGACTTACATCACTATAATTTTTATTTAGCATGTCATTTATATATATATATATTAAATTTGAATGAACTAATACTTTAAATGAACATTAATAAAATTAAAATTAATTTTTTTTTTATATAAAAATATTTTTTTATTTTTACAGATGTTAATAAGTATGAAAAAGCCAAGGAAGCTGCAGCAGTAGCAAATGCACAACTTGAAGAAGCTGAAAAGAATTTAACAGATATTAAAGTAAACGATGACACTGAAGCTGAAGAATCAATAAAAGAAGCGGTTAATTAGCTTTAATTTAGATTTGTAAGTAAAAATAATATATAATTAAAAAAAATAATTTGTTTAAAAAAATTACATTGTTCATATAAGAATTGATTGCTTTGCAAAAGTCAACTTATGGTATACTTAAAAAATATCAGTTCTTATGAAATATATATAGAAAAGTTAATATCGGCATTATTAAACCAATTACATGCTATACCAAAATGATTAATATTATTACATATTGCATATATAATATTGGCAATTGTTCACTCAGCGTATTGAACCATAATATCCAGTACATTATTTGAAAGAGAAACAAAAATTTTTGCAAAGCTATAAAATTTATAATAAAATAGGATATTAATTACGTTATTATTAAATACCGACTGTTTAGACGGAAAATGTAAAGGCGACTATATTGATGTACCGCCATTATTACATTATCAAGGTGCATCATTGGCTGGATGCGTATATTGTCTCCAGCGATATATAAATTATATGTCATATAACTTCATCAAAAAGTTGTCTAAATTTTAATTGACGTATGTAGACATCATCGTTCATATTATACATGCTTTATATAGAGTGATGGAAAAAATAATAGAAATGGTTTAAATGGTGTTTCTTTATCCTATATATCTTTTGTTAAAAAATGTATTTTCTAAAGTTTTAAAATTCATAAAATTGTAGTCCAAGTAAATGTAATAATTAAACCAAAAAATCAATTTTCACGTTATTCATAATAAAAAAAAGTGCGTGTCGTTTTGCTCCCTTGCAAAAAAAAAATAAAAACAAAAAATTTAAAATTAACAAAATAATTTTTTTTTATCTAAATATGCTTATTTTAAATGCTTTTTATAATTAATACTAACAGTTATTTTTTAAATTCAGAGCACCGTCGACCGAGGGATTCATGTCATGCCATGAATCAATGCCATACCATTCGATTTGCACCTTATTCCACAAACTCTCCTTGTTTTTGGGTCTATAGTTGGAAATTCGCTTCTTAAGAATTCTCCAAAGATGTTCTATTGGATTTAAGTCCGGCGACTGCGACATCCTAATAATAAATATTTTTTCCCGATATTTTTGTCCCTGAACCAGGTCTTTGCTATCCGAGAGTTGTGTTTAGGGTCATTATTCTGCATAAACTCCCATTTTAATGGCAGTTCTTTCTCGGCATATGGTAGCATTATATTTTCGATATAATTCGACATATAATTCGATATAAAATATACATATAAATGAATACATAAATATATATATACATAAATATATAAATAAATCAATATATAAATAATTCAATACCTATATAGACATAGTCTGTTGCGTACATCTTATGTCTTATCCAGTATATTGCACCAACACCTGATGAGAAGAAACAACCGTGTTTTACTGTTTAAATTACGTACTTTGGAAGGTGTGCACAATTTTTAGGACGTCGTGTAGTTGCATATCAGGCCCAAATAAATTAACTTTGGTTTCGACGTATAAAATGAGGATAATTTCTACAAGCGATTTGTCTTGAACAGCCAGTCGTCTTTACTTGCTGTTACCTTCATTACGAAGCCAACCGGTTCAACTTTATTACATATCCCGTTTGGTGATCGACTTAATACGTCGACATGAATAAGATCATTTCCTTGGCGATTGATATTTTGATAATCATACTCAAGTAACTTCATCCAACAGCGTGGGATTTTCGGCGTAAGTTCTTTATTTGTTTTTACTGTAGCAATTGCAGAACAATCTGTCACGTCATGAAAATGCTTTTCAAGTAGCTTTTTAATAGATTCTAAAACGATCTAATATTTTGAAAATAGTGACAGCCTCGAACTCATAGCTATGGTATTTACTTTTGGTTTCAGTGCAATGGCGACTATAATAGAACACCGGCTTCCAACGTTTTCCGTTTATTGACTGCAAGAGAACGCCTGTGAGAACTATACTACTGGCGTCAGCATGTACTTCGCGCTCGGTTGCGCTATCATACAGAACAAGTACCGGACCGCTACTAAGTAACTTTCTGAAAAGTTAGTCTTGGACAAATTTTCTAAAAAAAACCCTGTCAATCCTATAAATCCCCAAACATCGGTAAAACTTAGAGGTGTTTTTAAATTTCTGATTGTTGTTAATTTTTAAAGTTCTGCCGTTATCCCATTTTCGTTTATAATGTGACAGCAGCCCTATAGACAGGAATTTACTTTTAGAAAAACTTAAGGTAAGGTTGTTTTTTTTCAGCAAACATAGAATTTTTTTTAAATTGCTTAACCCTTCCTCAATTGATTGGTTTGATATAATGACATCGTCTAGGTACACAAGAATTTCTCCTTTACTCATTTGTGAAGCAATACTGTTTATTTACTAATCTAAATGGCCTTGGATTATATTCGTAATGTGCATCAGTGGTTACAAAGGCAGTGTACTGCATAGAAGTTTCTTCAATTTTTATTTGGTGGTATCCTATTCTTAAGTCTAACGTCGTGAAATATTTATTTCCGTCAAGTTGTGCAAATTATTCTTCCATATTTGGCATGGGATACGGATTCTTCTTCGTGATATTGAATAAACACTTATAGTCGACACTGTTTGCAGCCCAGCAAACAAATTATTTTTAAAATCGTACATTTTGTAATCAAATTTGTTTAGCATCGCTGGTGTTGGATTAAAATTTATACACGAACCTTGTCTCTGTAGAGTACAAGGTGAGATGAAAAAACTGCAACAAAGTAAAACGCCATAATTTTTTCATTTTTTTTAAATTTTATTGAATGAAAGCAAAAAATGTCGGAAATAACATCAAATTTGAGAATCGGTTTAGATTTGTTCAAATTGGCCACCTTTGGCACGAACTATGGCCTTCAAACGGCCAATGAAACCATCACACGCTGCCCGAAAGTGGCTCTGCGGTATTTTGTCCCATTCTCGGCGAAGCGCTTGCTTGAGATGATCGACACTTTGGTATTTTTTAGTGCCAACCTTGCTTTCCAAAATACCCCAGGCACAATAGTCCAACGGATTGGCATCCGGAGATTTTGGTGGCCATTGTGCGGTGGAAATGAAGCGAGGAACCTCATTTCTTAACCATTCTTGGGTGGCGCGTGCTGAGTGCGATGGTGCTGAGTCCTGTTGGAATGTCCAAGGTCTGCGGCCGAAATGTTTGCGTGCCCAGGGCTTCAGAACTCCCTCCAAAATATTTTCGCGATAGATTTTGCGCATTTATTTTGACCCCACGGTCGATGAATACGAGCGGCGAGCGACCATCGGCTGTTATGGCGGCCCACACCATCACCATGGCCGGCTTTTGAGTTGTGGTGGCCAACCGAAGTTGCAAATTTTCAGCTGACCTCTCTGGCAAGTAAACACGATCATTTTGTTTGTTTACAAACTGCTGGATAACGAATGGTTTCTCATCGGAGAAAACCAAATTCGGCAGTTCACCACTTTCGGCCAAGCGAAGCAACTCTTTAGCTTTTTCGAGTCTAACTTTTTTTTGCGCATCAGTAAGAACTTGCACTTTTTGGAACTTCAATGGCTTTAGTCCAAGCTCATTTTTCAATATTTGCCGAATGGCATATTGCGATATGTACAGCTCACGAGCCATTTTTCGTCCACTGCGACGCGGATTTCGTTCGATTCGCTTCTTCACTTTTCGAACCATTTCTGCCGATGTTGCTGTTTTTTTTCGTCCACTTCCTTGACGTCGGGCTACGCTACCAGTACCATGGTAACGAGCGATGATACGAGACACAAAAGATTTATTCACTTTTAAATGCTGGAGGGCTCTAACGATAGCCACTTGTGGTTTTCCAGCCAAATGCAAAGCAATCACACTATCACGTTTGAATTCCATCACAAATAACTTTTTTTCTGAAAAATTCCCACCAAAATGCTTTTGTGCGCTTGTAAACAATATAATGAGCTGTCACTAGAATAAATCTGACAGCTGTGGGACGAGCGGTTTAGAAATGACAGCAGTCTGAAGTTGGTTGCAGTTTTTTCATCTCACCTTGTATATCTTACCATCATTAAAGCCTGTAACATTTCAGGTGATAATTTGTTTCTCAATTTGTTTTTAATTATTGAGTAAATGGAAAATGTGCGCTCCACGCTTGCATTTGAAAAAGGTAACGAAAGTAATGCTGTTGCGAATTTGGCTACATTTTTAAATCTGCTATTCCCAGCTGCATCCTTATCCTCACTGACTTCAGCATAAAATTCTTCAGTGTTTGATAAATGTGTCCATTTTTTGTTTTGTAGTTGATGCCATTCATTTTCGACATCCTGCTTTACTCCAAACACATCAGTACGATAAATTTTAAAAAATTCTTGTAAACCAGGTTTAACCTGAGATGTTGCAACTTTTGGGTCAAGATTTGACATCATTTTTAAAATTGATAAATTTTCCGGTAATCGATTTTGAATTTGCTCAGCTAAAACAACTAAAAAATTTTTACATCGCTGTCTTATCTCAGGTAAGTGACTTGCATTAATATTCTGGGCCGCAGATTCAAAGTCATAACCTAAATATATTGATGAAGTATCCATCAAGTAAGGATGAAAATCAAAGTTGGTAATTTCATTGCCTTCTATATTTTGTAATTGAGCTGGAACTACAATTTTTTGAAGTACATTTTTGTAAAGTAAAAATAAATCTTCAAATAATTTAACTGGCTCTACTTGATTATTTTGAAACAGTAGATTCAACTGAGTAATAGTTTTTAGTTCATTCTTTAAGAAAACAAAATATATTTTGAATTGTATGTTTTTCATGATGTCATGCAATTGATCAGCCATATAACATTTATCTTGCTTTCTAACAATAGAAAAGAGCAGTTCTAATTCGATCCATTGGTCTAATATTGTAGTTATAGCTTGGAAACGAGCCAACCAGCGAGTTCCACTTAGCGCTCCCACTTTCTTAGGATTACTGTTATTATTGATTATTTCATATAACTTTTTGTACTCTTCTACGCGTTTAGAACTGTAAGAAAACCAGTTGTGAACTTCACGAACTAAAAATTCTAATTGCCTAGGCAGCGTTTCGGTAGCCTTTTCTGCACATAAGTGCAAAGAGTGATATATACACTTAACGACGATAAGATCGGGCAAATCTTTTTTCAAAATAGTGGCAACAGATTTGTTTTTGCCGATCATCACATTGGCACCATCCACACCTATTCCAATTAGATTTTGAAAATTTAGATTGTCACTTTGTAATTGAGCTTTTATGGCATCACATATACTCTGAGCATCAAATTCAGTTAATTTAATTATTCGATTAAAAGTAGTAACTATTTTCTTTTTCGGCATGGAGAAAAAACGTATCATTGTACAAAGAATTTTTAAAGTAGAGATATCGGTACTCTCATCGATAATAATAGAGTAAGCAGAATCGCCAATTTCTTGCACTAAATCTTGTAACATACAAGGACTGAGCACATTTTTTATTATCATAGTACACCTTGTTTTGTGCAGTTTCAATTTAGATAAAGTCTCCGATGTTTTATCTAACTTAGGTAGAATTTTCGTCAAATGATTAACAGTGTGTATAGAAGCATGTTCTGCAATAAAAGCCGTTATTTTTAATTCTGCAATTTTGATTGTTTCTGAATCTATTGTTTTAAATAGAGTTGGAAGAGTATAACATGACTTTGCGCTTTTATGTGCCTCAACAGATTTGATATGTTTTTCTGTACTAGCATGAGCAACTAAATCTTTTCTGTGCGCTTTTAGATTTATTTGACAATATTTACATATTGCCATACTATTGTTCGTTATATCTGGTGAAATCCATTCTGTAAATTATATTTCATTAGAGAATATGTGTAGTAAAATAAAAAATTTGAAACGCTCTAGTATTATTACGACCCAAATATCATATTCTATAGATGTTTTTGTGCTATGGTAGTAAACAATATTTTTGTACCTATATAGTTTTCTATAGTTTAAGATATCGGAAATTAAAATAAAAATTTATTATCAACCTTTCAATAATACATCTGATTCCCACGCTTTGGTATATTTTTGGTAATATTTTTTACTACTTGCTTTCGACATGGTTTTAAATTTTACTAAAATCACTTTAAAAATGAACGATCCCGGCTATCAAAAAAATTCCAAAAAAAACATTGCTCGCTGGCAATTAGTGTTGCCATGCAGCTTGTTCTTTTTGTTTTCGTACTGTATTTACACACTATCGGCGTTTATATATACCTTATTTATATATAATGAAAAATATTTAATGTGTGTTATTACTAACATAGTTTTTTGAATTGAAAAAATTACAATATTTTTAGACCCCCTAAAAAAACCCCTAAACATTTGGTGCCCCCAAAAATACCCCCAAAACAAATTTTTCCCCCTAAATTTGGGGGGAAAACCCCTAAGTTGGCAACCCTGGTACTATCTTAGTTTGATTAGTTGTCGCTCATTGGTTGATCATTCTCATACTCAGAGCGTTTTTCTTGGGAGTTACGATTTGCATTTTGTTTTACATTTTTTTTATATTAGATAATTTAGCTGTGCTCTTAAGTTTACCTAACTTAAGGTGGAGTTAGACGGTAGTTAACGTAAGAAGTTAAGTCAAAGCGAAATGCACAAACAACCAAACCTGTGTATTTGATAGGAACGAAATAAACATATGTGGCGAACTTATAGAAAAATCAAATTCAATTAGGTTTTGACGTTAAGCGATTTTAAAAACTGTGCTCAGTTGCTCGCAAAACCTTGATGAGGGTGGATGCGTTGCAATTATGTGCGGAATATGTTTACTATAACGAGAGTAGACGAAAAAATATTGTGATTATGAATGTGATTATTAATAAATTTTTTTTTTTTATTATATTTTTTTATATAATTATTTTATTAATATTGCTGAATATTGATTGTATTTCTATATAGCAAAAATAATCAGCAGAAAATATTTTAATAAATTTATTTTATTAACATTTTTACAATAGGTAATTGTATTTTATAATAGTTAATATTATTTATTTTATAATATCAATAATTAATATCTTATATATTGATCAATAATCAGTAAAAAGAATTTAATTTATGGTATAATAAATATTGAAGAGAAATACTTATTTAATAATAATAAATAATATTAAAACATTAGTTATATATAAAAATATTTCACTAAAAATGTTTTTATCTGTTTTACTTTGAAAGTACATTCGTACAAAAAATATATATAGAAACATAGAAATTCACTACACTTGAGGACAAGCAACTACCGGTTGGAGCTTTTAAAGTTTAGAGTTGATTCTTTTGTTAATTCTTTTTTTACTTATTGTTCGTGAAATCTTGTTGAGAGTGGGTGATATTTGCCATCAATTGCACCAACACAATTTGGAATGTTCCATGTTTGCCAAAAATCTGATGCAATATGCCGATATTGCTCTTCTGTAGGTTCACTTAAATATATTGGTGATAGTAGTTGCCAAATAATATCACACATTTCCAACACGGTGTTTCTAACTGTAGTTCTTCCCAATTTATAGCTCCATGCTAAACTCTGTAAAGGGACGCCATGTGCCAAATACCTTTAAAAAAAGTTCGTGTTATTTTTACTAAAATTACTAATAAAACAGTACATGTAACTTACAAAAGAGTAAGTGATAAACGTTCATCAGCATTTATTTGCTGCCCACATTTTGTCGCAGAAGGAGCTATTAACTTCAATAATAAAGTATATAATTCTTTAGACATCCGTGTATGACTAAAAAATTCTTCGTTATCTTTTTCTTTTATGGCTAAAAAGGTTTTTCGGTAATAGCCATGTAGAGCACGATCCACATTAATAGGACGAACTCGCCACCTTCTATTGCGCATTTGATTTCTCATGCTGTACAAGCGCAATATGTTTAGAAACAAATTACAAGCTTGCACAGTCAATTCATTTTGATTATACATATTTGTTAATAATTTACTTAAACTATTGTTAATTATTTCACTTTCAACAAAAATAACATAGAATTTCACTACACTTGCGGACACTCAACTACCGACTGGAACTTTTGAAAATATTTCATTTGCATGTTCCGATGTAAACAAAGTCAGCTGCTTACTTACCGTCTAACACCGCCTTAACTTAAAGCGAAATTTTCATTTCGTTTCTTCTTAACATCTTACGTTAACTACCGTCTAACTGAACCTTTACGTTTAGCTATGCTTTTAGGGAGAATAGAATTTTTTTTGGTGGAGTTAGTACATAAATCTGTGTTTGTTTTCTCGGCGTCGATTATTGCGTCAGCATAGGACACCATATTTCTACTATTGTTAGTTGTTGTTGCGTTATTTCCAAGTGCATTTATTGTTGTTGTTTCGTGTTTCTTTGCTCTTACTTTAGTTCTTTCATAGCCGATGTGTATAGCCGATTCTGGCAGAGTATGTGTAGCAAAGGTAATAATTATAAGACCTGTTTCTACAAGTTCCCCGTCTTCCTTTTTCTTGATTTTTTTTTAATATCGCAGACTGCTTGAGCTTCTAGTTCTCGAAGTATTTCCTCTTCTGCTATCGCTTTGAGTTCATTTGAGTATATAACGCCTTTACAATTGTTAAGAGTACTGTGTTCAGAGATGGTTACCGCAATTGTGTCGGAGAGTGACGTCAGTTTACTCAGTTTCTCAGTTTGTTTTTGGTTTTTAGTTTTTATCAATATTGTACCATTACGTGTTTTTGTGCATTGATCAACCTCATCACAGGTATAATCAATTACCTTTTTAATTAGAAAAGGTGATATATCTTGTAATGTATCATTGATATTGTTATTCCTTTTCATGACCAAGTATTTAGGGCCTGGTATGTGTATATTATTATTTATAAATGTTTTATATTGATCAGGTTGATCAGGTGGCTTGGCCATTTTAAGTTAAGTTTATAGTAAGTATTGTTTTGTTGTTTTTATTTTTAAACACTCACTTATAGAATCAAATTTACTATGTCTCAAAGAGAGAGATAACGATATACGGTTATTTAAGAATTTTGTTCCGTGAATAATAAAACACAACCGTTCACTTTGACTATTAGTCAGAGACTGATAGTGCAAAATTGTTATCTAGAAACTTTTGTAAGTAAAATGACATTATTGAGTGTTTTTTTTTTTTGGTATTTTCTAATTCATCGTCAAAACCGTTCACTTTGTAATAGTTCTTTCTTCAGGAAGCTGAAGATGCCAAGTTGCAGCTTGGAGCTTTACTTTGACGTGTCCAGTAGCCCCATTCGACCTTACGTGCCGGCCCTTCCATTTTCACATAGCAAGCGTTATGTCTTGACGTGATTTAATCGATTCTCTCTCAGGTATTACTGCGGGGAAAGTTGTAATTCAGAGAGTATTATATGGTGTGTCAAATCCTAACAACGACTTCTTCGCTTATATTAGTTATAAAATAATAAAAATACTTATAGGTTTTATAATTTAAAACTTTATCATAGATAAGTGCCGTTTTCTTCTTTTGTAATTAAATTGATAATATATGTAATACACTGAGATCGAATGCTTTTCACTTTATTGATCAGTGAAGAATAAAATTATTTGAAATTGAAATTTTTAATCTTGTATTTTATTTCAACGTCAATTAAAAACTAGAAAAAGTTAAAAGATTTTAGAAAAATTGTTATTTTTGAATTTTTAATTGTATTTTTACCAACTCATATCCATTTGGTTGTTTGAGCACTGGAAACTTTTGTCAGAAGCTCTTGTCTATCAGTACTCAAATAATGTAGGTCTGAATAGAGGCACTCGTTTAACAGATCTAAATATTACAGCAATTTATAATGGAAGGATTTAGAAAAGAGTAGTAATAATTTAAATAATTAATTAAATTATTATTATTATTATTTTTATTTAATTCTCCTTAATGGGTTTTTTGGTAAGTTTTGGTTCTGTGAGCATAGTTTTGTATTCTGTGAGCATAGTTCGTATTTTTCGCTGCATCGCTTGTATATCAGTCGTTGTCCATTGTATTATTCCGAAACAATAAGTCAGAATGGGAATAGCAAAAGTATTGATGGCTTTTATCAAAGATTTACCCTGCAGATTCGTCTTGGCTATCTTATGAATACGTCCTTTAAATTCACTATATACTTTATCTTTTACAGCTTTGTGTGCTATTCTTCTACTTTGAGATACACCAAGATATTTGTACAGTTCGTCTTCTTCCATGTCTTTAATAATCGATTCGTTTTGCTCAAAATTTTCGAATTTAACGATTTTTACACGAACAATGCTGATTTTTCTGCATTTTTCAATGCCAAACTTCATTCTAATGTCATTACTGAAGTCCTCGACTATTTTAGTAAGCTTATCTAAGGTTTCTCGCGTCGAAGCATATATCTTTAAATCATCCATATACTTGAGATGATTTATTTTACATTCTCGGGAATTACCTTTAATTTTGAAGCCATATTTTGCGTTCCTCAAGAGATTACTTAACGGAATGAGCGCCATA